CATTATTATAGAAATATTAGAGTTTCCCAGGTTATGTGACACCAGATTCACAACCACAGTAGAACAAATAATCCAGCTTTAATTCCATGTGTGTGCACTTGTGCATGCACATATGCATGAGTCTCCCATATTGACAATGTTGAGCAAACACATTTTCCAGAAAATATTGTGTGAGTAGGCTTTACCTGGATAATAATTTATTGCAAGAAAGGATGCATCATGGATTACAGCATAGCACTGTCTATGAAGGAGGAAACTCAAGACCTTTGAAAGTTGGATAAGCTATTATTTAGTAGTCAAAGTAATAATCTGATCCTGTCTCTGGTTATCAGTGTCCCTCTCTCTGATAAATTAGCATCCTCATTTTGTCTGAGAAAACAAAACAAAAGAATTCCATCCTTTTTTGTGATTGCTGTTTAAACCTGCCCATTTGATGTTTTTATTTCTTAATTGATTATATTATTGCAGCAGATGTGTTTTACAAGATCATCTGTAAACTAAGGAGATGTTTCAAATGGTGGTCTGTGTGCTACTGAACATCTGAAGACTCTGGATGAAATGCTTCTGCTCAACACTGAGTCAGGTAGATCACAGAACTTCTCCCTCTTCCTTAACAATTTCTCTTATACAGGCTTAGTAAAACAGTAACAAGGAAATAAATTGAGATCTCTATGAATAATGTATATGAATATGAACAGGTCTGTTACATTTAGTTGTTGGAGCTGTAATGAACAGTTTTCAGAGCATTTTGCTAGTGACTCTGATGCTTGTTCAGATTTATTCCCTGTAATATCAAGGTTGTTTCATACACAGTAGGTGAATCTGAGCTTGGGTTGACCTTGGCGAAGCCTTAGGGAATTAATCACACCGAACTCTTAAGGCATTGCCCCTGAAATCAGCAAAGATCACAGTATGCTGATGGGTCCAATTCACACAGCTGCCTTTTTCTTATTGCAGACTTTTGATTTGCTTTGTGTAGCCTTGCTTTGTATTCAACCACGATCCTATGACAGAAGTAGGCAGCCAGATGCTTTCCAGGCATTTTGGACTACAACTCCCATCATTCCTGACTTCTGACACTACTGGTTCTGGCTTATCAGGGCTCTGTTAAGCCGTTCACTTCTGCATATGAAAGTAAGGGTGTATATTTGCCACCACTGGAACATAAGCTAAACTAACTTCCAGCCCCTGGAGAACAATTCTGCCATGAGAAGAACAATTGCCCTGTTGAGCTCGGTAAGTCCACAGTCAACCCTACTTGAAACACCTCCACCCTCTTCATTTTCATACCAACATGCAAAGGACAGGATCTAACTGTTTTGTTCCAATGGTGGAAGATTCAGTCAGCAGCTCCTTTTGCATTCTTAAGACTTGATGTGAAAGGTTGGGAAACTCCAAGTGAGGTTTGGGGGATGCACAGGGAGAGGGATATACCCATCATACTAGTGACTGGATACTCATTCCTGTTGCATTTATAGTTGTGTTCCACTACAGGGTGACACTACATTTAAGAGACCAGCACTGGCAAATGGTGACTTCCATGTCAAATGGATGATGAATCCACTCTGGGTTTCAGTCCAAACTTTAGGGGAGCAATGCAAGGTGTTGCCCCTATTTTGAGGACAGGATTCAGCACTTGGGATAGTGACTTTAAAGTCTGACATAAAGCCAAGAGAATGCTCACTGTCCTACTAATATGGAAGCCACCAGTCATCACTGAACACAAACACTTTGAGGCACAGAAATACATGTTATAGGAATCCTGGGCTGCTGCTGACTCCTTCCCTTCTTGCCCACAAAGGACAACTTTTCTATATTTCAAGTATCCATTTATGTGTATATCCAAGATTCGTATCCAAGTGCTACAGTAAGGATGCATGAGCTTTTGTACACAGTCTGAGGATGGAGGAAAGAGAATGAGAAAGTAGCTTGTGTGCACAGCTATAGAACAACCCTAGCCTTGTTGATATTTGTCTATGGAGGCTGTGTCTGGCATCATCTTTCCTCAAAAATTATCATGGCTTGCTGTGACCATAAATGTGATTCCTGCCTCCCTTCTGGTCCCAAGAAAGGGGCTGCCTAGTGCGACTTCAGATAAATAGCATCAAGGCAAATATTGGGAGGGAACTGCAGACAATAAATATTCTCAATGTAAGGAAAACAATGAATTGGTTAGTCACCTCATTAATTTATGCAGCAAGATCACACAGACTGGATGTAAGAAATGCCATTTTAAAGTTTCTGCAATGATACCACTTTACCTGTTCTGTCTCTGACTCCTTTGATGTATGGTACAAATATCTTCTCTTTGGGTGGTTGTTTTTCTTCCTCCTCTGAAACACAGAGGAAACACAACCTCCAAATGATATACAAACATACCAAGAAAATCCAGCAAATGCTGCGCTCAGCGAAGGACAGGAGAGACCCTCTCACAGACACAGGAGTTTACCGCATACCATGCTGCTGTGGACATGTCTACATAGGGACCACCAAATGCTGTGTTCAAACATGAATTAAGGAACATGAGAGACACTGCAGACTGGGGCAGCCAGAAAAATCAGCATTAGCAGAACACCTTATAAACCATCCTGGGCATAAAATGCTATTCAAAAACACTAAAATTTTAGACCATGCCAACAACTATTGGGTCTGAATGCAGAGGGAAGCCATTGAAACCCACAAACACCTAGACAATTACAACAGGAAAAAATAAACCCTTAAAGTAAACAAAGTCTGGCTGCCAGTCCTGAAAAACACCAAAATCAAGATCCAGCATGTGCAAATGAAAACTACCCAGGATCAGGGGTTTTCCCAGCAGACAATAGATCACTCATTAAGTAGACACAATGCCTCCTTGCATATCCTTCCACCCTGAGGCCTTGCCATTCAACAACAGATCAACACACAGGTTAACATGTAAATCACCTTTTCTCAACCAAGGGTCACACATTATATATATATACCCCACTCACTTCCATGACAGCATTCTCTGAAGATGCCAGCCACAGAATCTTCTAGAACACAGCCACATAGCCTGAAAAACCCACAAAAAACTATGAATGCTGTCCATAAAAGCACCCACCTTCACATTGAAAAAAGTTGTTGAAAATGATGAAGTAAAACTCTTATGGGACATTAAGATCCAAACTGTTAAACAATTAGAACATAATATCCCAGACATAATTGTGTGTTTAAAAAAAACAAAACAGAAAGAAAGAAAGCTTAAATAATAAATGTGATAACCTCAGGGGACACCAGAATTTAAGATACAGAGAAAGAATAGATGATGAAATATTGAGATCTACAAATTCAGTACATCCGGGAAAAGAAAACAACTGTGGTTCCAGCAGCAATAGGATCACTGAAGGCAATTCCAAATGATTGACAAAAGATCTGAATCAAATCACCATAGATAGGATCACAATAGCACATTTGAAAAAGGTGACAGAATTGGAACATGTTACATTATTTGGTGATAACTCACTGATTCCTCCCCGCACACTCTGGTCCTCTGGGAGGAATTTGCTCCAGCCATTAAAATCTAGGCTGTCAGCAACCTCCCAGAGAGCATCTTCGGTAATCGCTCCCAGATTGTGGAACGGCCTGCTGGACGAGATCTGTCAGATTACAAGCCTAAGCAGCTTTAAAAAGGCTGTAAAGACAGATCTCTTCCAGCAGGCCTTTCCTGATTAGATCCCGGCCTCAAGAGTTGTGCCTCCCTACTGTTTTCTGTTTTTGGCTTGCCCATGGCTTGTATTTGTTTGTAATTGTTTTAATTATCTTAATTTCTTTCCTGAGATTTTATGTTGATTTTTAATATGTGTAGTTTAATACTTTTTTAAGGGGAGGGTGGGGTTGTGGGGTTTTAGTTTGTACTCTTGGTGTAATTTTAATTGTTGTAAGCTGCCCCAATTGTTTTTAACAAAGGGGCAGGATAGAAATAATAATAATAATAATAATAATAATAATAATAATAATAATAATAAATTAGATTCTTGGTTAGAATCTGAAGCATTAATGGTCCAAAACTGCAGTAACACAAGGTAGACTGTGCAACTGAGGTAATAATAGCAATAGCAACAGAAGGGGGAAGAAGAGGCAGTAGTAGAAGTAACAGTAGTAGTAATAGTAGTATAGTAGTGGCCAGCGGCATCCCTGCCATAGGCATCACCTGGTGAGGGGGACTCCCGAGGAGGGCTTCAAGGGGCAGCACACCCAGCCCTCTCCCTCAGTGCTTCCCCTTTATCATGAGTAGGACAATGTAGTGACAGTGAGGTGCAGAGGGATCTGGCTCTCTCCCTCAGTGCCTCCACATAGTCCTACTCGCAGCAACAGTGAGGGGTGCAGAAGGAGGCCTGACTGAGTGTCATTCTTCTGGGGTCTCATTCAGTGCAGGCTGAACCCCACCCCACCCCCTTAATAATGCCTGCTAACAGTAGTCTTGGGAGGTGCCTTACCCCCACTAGTGGAATGTGGCTCAGGCCACGGTCTGCCACAGGTGACTTTAACATGTATGCTGCTGGCTATTGTTGTTTTTCTGACAGAACAGCCCAGTATCTGAAACTGGATAGATTTTCTTTGGTAGGATTGAAGATGAAGACAAAAATCTGTATTGGCATGTAACCATGTGAATAGAAAAATGCTATTCATTAGCTGAAATAAAAAGTTGGCCATTGGTTTTCTTCTCGATTGTTCTAAGTCAGGGGTAGGCAACCTTTCCCCTTTAAGGGCCAAGGGACTTCAGCTCCCAGAAGCCTCAGCCATGTTGGCCAATAGTCCTATGTTGGCCAATAGCTTCTGGGATTCTGGGAGCTGAAGTCCCTCGGCCCTTAAAGGGGAAAGGTTGCCTACCCCTGCTCTAAGTAATCAAAATGTAAAACGCACTGAGGATTTGCTTTCCCCTCTGGTTGTTGTTGTTGTGTGTTTTCATGTTGTTATGGCAACCCTAAGGGTTTTTCTGGGGCTGGGAATATGTGATTTACTCACTCAGTGGGTTTCCATGGTTGAGCAGGGAATTGAACCCTGGTCTCCAGAGTTGTAGTCCAGTGCTCAAACCACTACATCATGCTGGCTCTCTCAGGATCAACACCAAAATATAAAATTGCAGGGAGCATGCACATATGCACATAAACATACACCTTGCATTAAAACATTGCACTGCAGAGATTGTTTGGTAGTAAATAATTCCTCATCTCCTCCAAGTGTCCAAATATAACTTCAGCCACTAAGTGAAAAACAGAAGGAACTGTGTTCTGTAGAATGTTTGGGAACATTCAGATTGGGATCTAAGCTTTACAAGCAGTGGCTCCCAAGATGTTAGTGTCTTTGAAAGAGATTTTAAACCCAGCTACACATGTAAAGTTTGTTCCCAACACTATATTACTATATTCTTCTTTTCTGAGGCCTTGCCATTCTCTCAATGGGCCTTTAAAATCTCTCACTTGAAAGCCTACGACTTCTCACTTGATAACACTCTGAGCAGCAGATCAATGTTGTTTGAAGACTAACAACTGGCATCCCATCCATCTTCCACATTACAATTTTGAAATAGTTCATCTTTCTGTTGATATAAGATTATAACTGATTATTAGATACTGCATACTAATTGATATGCACTATATACTGCAGTATGTACAGGCTTTAGTGAAAGGGTTGATGTGAATTTTCTTATTCATCTCTTCTAGAGACTTTATACCTAGAAATTGACAATTGGTTAGTATATCAGGCTGCAGTTAGGAAAGCCAACATCAGCTCAACAGCCAAGAATTTAATTGAGTCCTGATCTTTCAGTTGAGCCTACCTCATAGGATTGTTGTGAAAATAAAATGATTGAGGAACAAAGCCATATAACAGAGAAGAATGAGAGAAAAAACTAAGTGTGTGTTTTAAGTTCTGCTTCTTTTCTCCACGCACAATCTCTTTCTCTCCTTCTGTTCATTTCCCCTCTCTTGGCATGCATATATTTTGGCATTATATTATTTATGTCTGTGATGGAAGTAATATTTCAAAATGTCTCTGCATTAACAATAATGATTGGAAACAGATTTTTCCCAAACTGCAGAGGGAATTCACCTCCTTTTCTCTCCTCACCAGTTCTCCTTTCAAAGCAAGGTTTATTGGGAAGTATGTTTTAAATAAACCATCTTATCCATAATAGCAATATGATATTGAAGAATCAAGTAACAGCAACAGCTTAAAAATGCTAGGAATTCCAAGCAAAAAAAGAGAACAGAATGCAACCCCATTAGGAATAGGACAAAGCTCCTTAAGAGCAACAAGAGGGGTGTAAAGGGGCTGTTTACAGAGCTGGGTCCAGCTGGCACATCCTACCAAACAGTATTTTTGTGCAAAGGCCATGCATTTCAATTGTGTTTGCACCCAAGAAATATTTTGGATTTCACCCAAAGCTATTGCATCAGAAAGAAAGAAAGAAAGAAAGAAAGAAAGAAAGAAAGAAAGAAAGAAAGAAAGAAAGAAGTGAATAGCATGTATCAATACATATAAAAGCCCTAATCACATCTGCTGATCAGGCATTGTGATCAATGTGCTCTGAAGTAATAAGATCATGCTCCTACCAATGGTAGGACTTAATATGTAACTTAATGTACACATAGGTAGAATTCAAGGCATATAACCTGAAACATAAGTATTCTGGGGGGGTCCTATGTGGACATGCCTATTATGTCTAATGCTTCTAGAGAAGGTAGGTCCAGGGATGGAGTGAATTGGGGGGGGGGAACTCTTGCTTTTCTATATAGCTTGTCTTATGATTGTTTCCATTTCCTTCTTGTACACTCCTTAAAAACTTCTCATGGAGATTTTAGGTTCCTTTTGTGGAGCTTGAAATGCTGCTGTTTTGTGGGTGAAGGATCTATGACCATTCTGTGTATGGTGCAAAGCCATTAGTTCTATGTGCTTTACCCAGGGTTTGGACATGTGTTATGCCAAAAAAAAAAATTGCATAGCCTCTCAGTATCTAAATACAATACAGAAAATCATGGCGTCTATAAGGAAGTAGCATGAATAATATTGTGGTATGAGTTGCACAAATATGCTTCAGTCCTTTGCAATACACTAATGTTGAGTTAGAACTAAGATTAAAAAAAAATCTGAATTACCAGTTTTCAGATCATTCATCTAATCACCGAGTTATCTTGTTTCTGCCATACAATGTTGTTGTTTTTTCAGTACAGAGAACTATGAAATCACTTTTTTTCTTGGTAGGATATCTGAAGGAAGAAGTATGAATCAGAGACTGCTTTATCGGCCATTTTCCAATACCTTGCAGTCAGCAAGATTGTGCTTTGCTCTATTACCCTGGTTCCTGCAGCAAAATTGAATGCCACATAGAAGTTGAAAACTCGTTGTATTTGACATGATGTAATCCCAATTGGCATAATGTAATGAGCAAGCTGTTAGAGGAATACTTCTACTGCTTAAATCTTGTTTGAACATTGATCTCTATGAACTATGTGAAATAATGATTACATTAGAAGTTGTAAACTAGGATGGGAGGTAGTTTCGTGTTTTTGCTTTCTAAACAATTTCTGCCACATGCCCCCCCCCCATACTAAAGTGTTTATTTGGGCTCATTCCCATTATGATATACACTGATTTGCTGGTTGGGTTATATGTGCATTGTCCACTCAGTAGGCTCAGAGACTACCCAAGGACCATAGATTGTGATTGACTACAAACTGTGGGCTGAGAGAACAGTGCTTCTTGGGCTACCTGATGGGGGGAGGCAGCAATTGCTGTTTCCACATGTGCCAGCACTAAATTTATGCCCATTGTCTACAGTTGTTTCTTTCCTTCAAGGATACTCACCAAGAACCAGCAGCCAATTGCTTGGGGACTGGCATCAGTTCAGGGATCTCTGCTTTGAGTAGCACTGCTCTAGAGAATATTATTTCTTTTCACTTGAGCAGATGTTATTTGTGGCTCCTGGCTTGTAAAAGCTCCTGATGGAGAAATGTGTGGATGAAATTGAGGGAACAATGATGCAAAATGGCATATCTCACCAAGGACAAGCCATAGTAGCTAATAACATACTATAAAAACAATCAGCCCTAAATGCCTCAAGAGTAAGCAATTAAAACAACAACCCAGGGACATAAAATCAGAAGGAAGAAAAATAATAAGAACCTGGACAGCTAATAAAATACCTTCAAATCAAAGGCAAGAAAAGTCCTTGTCCCAGCCTATTATCACCTGGTCATAGCAATCACAAGTGAATAATCTTAGCTCTTCCTCCTCCTGTTCCCCCCAGTTCCAATCTGAAAGTGTTTCAATAGAGTGCCAAGTCCATGTAACACATGAAGGTACCATCCAAAGAAGGAAGAGGCTTTCCTAGTTGTTACCTCTTTTTTTTTAATCTATAGTTCTTCAGAATCTCCCAGCCAGCATAGCTACTGGCTTCATATTTCTGCTATGTCCACTGCAAGCAGTTCTCTGGTATTGTGCCAGATGCCACTAGTCAGTTCAATTAAAATGCAAATAAACATAATACATTAAAAGATTTGTTGTGGTCAGTTACTTTCCCTGACTTTCATAAATGCCTGCCATTTTAAACTATCAGTTACTCAGCCAGAGCCGGTCCCACTGTAAAGTAGTCTCCTCTGGCAACAGGTACTGGGGGGAAAGCTCTGGCCACATTTTGTGGTGTGTTTTTTTCTCTCTCAGTATATCTCTCCACAACCACCCTGCAAAGAAGAGTTGCTGGGAGGTAATGATAGCCCAAAGTCATATAAATTCCACAACTAAACAGAGATTTGGATTTCCCTCTCCCAAGTCTTTAAACATTACCCTATATTGGTTCTCTCAGACCAATGGTTACTATAAAACTGGTCCCAAGGCAGAAATATAGTGGTAAAAAATACAATTATAAATATGTAGAATTTTCACCATTAAACTGCAGATTAATGCTATATGTTTATAATAATTTGTATAATATGCCAATTACATTCCCAGATTTTAAGAGGCTGGAATAGGGTAACCAGCATTATAAATTTGCTTTGGAGTCTGAATATTGGGTACTCTCCTTTCCCAACCTGGCATCATACCTTTGCTACTTTCATGGCAAGCAGTACTCTGTTTTTGCCACATATGCCACTTGCCAACACAACAGGAAAACCCTCTACAGTTGTTCAGTTTTAAATTTATGAAGAGGAAATACACAGGCCTAATTCCACTTTATTCAACAATACTCTAGATCAGGGGTAGGCAACCTAAGGCCCAGGGGCCGGATGCGG